AAGTTTCTATCGGTGTTTTGCCAAGCTGAAAACAAAACTTTAAACTGATTTTCTGTTCGTTTATTTTACTGTCCTCAGTCAAGAAACAACGCACTAAATAGGCACCTTATAAAACAAGTTTTACATGGAACACAAACGACGCTCAACTGAACGACGGTGGTTGCAGATGGTTAACACCTCCCGCTATGCATTTGCAGTGTTTTGTTTCACCAGTGTTGCCAGATCGACCGTTCTGACTTCATTCACCGAGCTTATTAAAATTATATGCATATATATACACTTACCTTCGAAAGTCTGCGTAAAGGCGATCATTCATATTCTATCAAAAAGCGCTAATTAAAGGGAGTCTTACTGAATTAGTACAACTTTTATTGATTCCTCTAACATCGCAAATTCAAATAAAATGAGCAATAAGCACCTGATCATTACATAAAAAAATACAAATATTTATAACTTGAGAACAACACAAATCGAGTGCGTCAAAAGTCTGCGTACACTGGGAAAAACCTTTACGATAATGGATTGCAACTAAAAGTTAATACCCTTTAAACTATTCCGTTCTCTTCATAACCTCTCTCTCAACACACATTTTACAAGGATTCAACTAGCTTAATTGTCTCTTCTGTGGTTATTTTGTTCCATTCTTTTATCATAACAGATTTGAGCATTTCTTTCGGTGTTATACTTGCTCCCTGATTATCCACTGGAGTAAATCCCTTCAAATGCTCTATTGTGCTTAGGTCTGGGGGCTAGGATGGCTTATGGAATTGGTTTGGAACATGGCAGAACAGCCATGACTTCACAGTATAAGCCATTTTCTTGGTATCGTTGTCGTACTGGAAGTAAAAATCATCATTCACCGCAAGTTTCTCGGCATTTACTTTGATATTTTACTTCAATATGTTCAAGTAATCAATTTCGGGCGGTAGATTTAAATAATTCGAGTTTACCAACCCAATGGCTTTCCTATGCTGCCCCAAAACCATTATGCGTTCTCCTTCGGAAAATAATCGGAAAAAGATTCTTTTTCTTAAAACCGGTACAAGTTTTTTTTGCAGACATATGTTTGTCCTTTAATATAGAAAGTGCAAAAATTACTTTCAACTGAATATATTATATTTTTCCAATTTTTATATATCCTATTTACGTGTTCTTTGGCAATGGCCAGTCTTTTAGCTTTGTTCATGTGTGGCCGCAAAAGCCAAGTGGCCAAGGTAACGGACTCGTAGCAGGCATGTCATGAGTTCGAGCCTAGTACCTCTGAAGACCCGCCGTGTAGGGCGGCGATGCACGTTAAATCTGTCGAGAGCTCAAACGTCCTGCAGTTGATGTGGTAGTTTGGAGAGGGGAGCCCGCTCACAGGTGTCGTCCTCGTCACTTGACCATGGTTCAAAATTACGAGGTCCGTCGCCAAAAGCCCTCGTGTAGCTGAAAATTGCGACTTAGATGTTCACTCGAGGGACGAATAGATTCTTCACATTGCAACTCGGCCGTGATAGAGTCATCCTTTTTTAGTTAAAGTCAAATAAGTAAAGTATTTTTGGAATATCTAAGCAACACTTTTAGCTATTTGTGAAGCTTATAGTCTTGGATTTATTTTTACATTTCTTATTACAAATCATGATTCTCGAGGTAACACTGCAGACGGCTGTCCAGATCTTGGCTTGAACTTTAAAATTTCAAATGATTTGTAGTCTATGAACACTTTTTGAATGAATGAATGCCTCCTATTAACAGTTTCAGTAATTGCTTTAAAAGATTTTCAACTTTTCTAAAAATCTCTGATGATCTTTCTTTCAATAATGTATCGATTTTTTTCTATTGCCTGCCATTAAAATCATACCAGCATTGAAATATCGGTTGATGTGTAGTATAGGGGGGGGGGGCACTTGGCGCAGTCCTTTTTAGGAGGGCGGATGACCTAAAGCGGTCGCTAAGGTACTTTATTCGGAATTATTTATTATTTATTTTACAATGAATTCGTTATCTCACCATGGCATTTAGATAAAAATTGTCAAATCCGAAGAAAATTCGCCAAATCCAAAGTGACCCTCCTATACTACACTTGAGCCCAAATATCAAATCCTAAATATGTCGTTATAGAAACCTATAATTGCTTAGAATAAAATATTCTCACAATAAAATATCTTTAAAAGCTCTATTTTGTAAGAAAGAGTACGCAGACTTTGGTGGGAGTGGTTGGTGATTATTGAGGAGTCATTCTTGTTTCATACTGTTACAGTGAATTTTGTAGTTGTTTGAGTAAGAAAATTTTGAAGAATCCCTAACTGGTATGTTGATTTTGTGAAGTGAGAGATTTTAATACTAATTTTAGCGCAAAGAAATAGGTTGATTGCCTGTACGAAGACTTTTGGAAAAGAAAGAGAAACAAATGCAGTACTTATACAGATTTTTAAGAGAAAGAGATTGTACAAGAAATAAGTAAATTTGATAAATCAGCATTATTAAAAAGAACTTATGTGCACAATAAAATGTGATAAAGTACAAGATGTCTTAAAAAATATCCGCACGCACGATATTTCATCGCAAAAATACTTACATGTATATATTCAGATAAAATATAATCTTAATTTCATCATAAATATTTTTTTGTTATTGACGAGGTAGACATAAATTTTTTTCATCGTGATGAGAAATATTGGTGCTTAACTTCTGGCTTACAATAAAAAAAGAAGAAAAGGGGTGAAATCTTATTTATTTTTAATGAAACACACACAAATTTAATTTTTTATTTTAAATCCAAGTTCATGATCTACTAAATTTATTCCACGGTTTCTGAAGATAGCAATAGCCTCTCACACACACACACATTTTGGTGTTATTTAACAAGAATGAAATATTCTTTCCTAATGTTCGTTTCAAACTTATTCTTTAAATAGTTCGAATTAAATTCATATACATATTTTGTGTGTGTAACTTCTTCATCATTCATAGTGAATGTGTTTTATTGATGATTATATTCAGATTTGATTCTAGAAGATAGCTTCATATTTATGCATTCTGTGTACAAAAGGTCTTGAAGAGAGAAAATTAATTATTTTTTCTTATATGTATCATATAAGGCGAAACATTATTAAAAACATTCAGCTTAGAAATTCTTTGGGAAAAATTATGCTATGACAAATGAAAACGTTTAATCAAATAATAATTTCATACACCCAGTTTAAGTTAAGAGTGCGAGATATGCATTCATAATTAATATTTAAACAGTTTTTAACAAAAAAATATTTTTTTGCATAAAATGTTCTATTTTTTCTATGTTTTACTTCTTACCAGCTATACCTTAACAAGTAATGTAAAAAAAATTTAAGTCACTTCCTACTTAGGTCTCTCAACAAAGAAAAAATTTATTTTAGTTACTTTTTATTAAGGTATCCGACTACGTTCGAAACCGTGATTTTAAGAAAGCGCATAAATGGATAATTTTCATGTTATTTAGTGTCAATTATATTAGAAATACACGTATAAAATTGTTTTAAGGACATTTTGACAAAAAAAATTATTTAAATACAATAGTTCGGCAAAAAATTAACTTAGAATAATCTTTTTTCAAAATGTTCTCCTTTTGTGAAAAATGCTTTTATTATAATGATATGTTGCCTGTATATAGCTCAAACCTCTGTACAGAGGCTCAACTATGATTTTGGAAAAACTCACATTATTTTCAGAGTTACAACCAATTGAAATAATTATCGGCGTTTTTTTCTTAAAATTTCCCTCTGTTGCGTAAAACATGAATAAACCCACTTCCAAGTTATGTATTTCAAAAATTCTAGTTGAGCCTCTGTACAGAGGTCTGATCTATATACAGGCAAAATATTATTATAGTAAAAGCATTTTTCACAAAAGAAGAATATTTTGAAAATGGGTTATTCTATCTTCATTTTTTTGTCAAAATATTGTACTTAAATAATTTTTTATTGCAATACTATTCTTAAAACAATTTTATATACATTTTTTAATCTAAGTGACACTAAATATCATAAATATTATCCATTTATACGCTTTTTCAAAATCGCCGTTCCGAACGTATAGTCGGATACCTTATATGATTAGAATTAATATAAATATGTCGCAGAAATATGATGAAATTGGGACTTTTATCGAATCCCTAAGGGGGATGATCAATTCACGCAAGATATGTTGCAATAACGTCTCTTTGAGGTCATTTCCCTTTTGTAAGTAAGTGATTTGATCAAATCCCTGAACTGTTTAAGTAAAATGATGAAATGAACAAGTCGGCCATTTTTTTTTAAAGATATGAGGTTGATATTTAGGGGATCGATATTACTACCTGTATGGTTAGGAAGTACTAGAACTCGACCTCCCCCAGCAGCCCATGAACAGCATTTTGCTAATGCAAATCCTGACTAGTTCAAATTCATCATTACACTGAAACAGTTATGGGTTTGATAAAATCACTTACTTTCATCATGGAAATGACCTTGAAGAGACGTTATTTTAACATCTCCCGTGAATTGATCATATACCCTAGGGATGATGTGAAATTCCTAAGGGATAGGTGAGGAGACACCTAGGGGGTCGAGTCCTTGTACTTCCTAACCATACAGGTAGTACTATCGATCCCCTAAATATCAACCTCATATCTTTAAAAAAAATGGCTGACCTGTTCATTTTATCATTTCACTAAAACAGTTCAGGGATTTGATCAAATCACTTACTTGCATAAGGGGGGGAAATGACCTCAAAGAGACGTTATTTTAACATCTTGCGTGAATTGATCATCTCCCGTAGGGATTCGATGAAAGTCATAATTTCATCATTTTCCTGCGACATATGCGTATACATACGACAGAATCGCAATATTAAGTGGCAAAGTAGAAAGCGATTTTCTATTTTCCTTTCTATATATGGTGTTGGACTATTATTTTTGTTTGTTACTATTTATTCATTAATTTAATTTAATTATTCCAATGAAATAGTACAGTAAAAAGAAACCACAATCTCAGAAATTTGGCCATTCCTGATGGGATTCGAACCCATGACCTTTGGATTAGAAGCCCAACGCGCTATCCATTGCACTACAGGGACACAATGAAGGGTACTCCTTTCTATGTATGGTGTTCGACTATTTTTGTTACTATTTATTCGTATTGTAATTTAATTAATATTTGAGAAAAACTGAATTAACATTAAGTGTCATCAACTATAAGTTTAAAAAAATGTATTTGAACTTGAGTGGATGTATAAAAAGTACTTTATTAACGATTGAAAATTTGAACAAGATATATATATATATAAGGAGAGTGTGATTTAATATAGTTGTAATTGAAAAAAGAAACAAGGGGTAAAATATTACCCATTAAACTAAAAAATTTGTCACTCTTCGTTATCGTTTTGAAAAATTTTTAAAATTACTTTGCTATCATTTTAAAGTATCAAGTTTTTCAAAAATATTTAATAATTGTCAAGTTGAAAAAGATATCTCATTATTCTTCATTTCAAACTCAAGAGATAAATTTAAAAATGTCTCTTAAAAGACAGGTTTTAAAAACGATTAATTTTCACAACGATTGATTTCCCAGGATAAAATTTCTCATAAGTAACCATTTAAAGGAAATTTTATATCCTCATGTATGAAAAAAAAAACAACCCTTATGGCCTCACTATAATTCGAAATTCATCTGAAAGAAATAGATTAATTTTGATCGAATCTAAATTGAAAGTCATCAGAAAGATCTTTCTAAAAAAAATTTTAAAGTGTCCCTTGACAGGTCTTCTAAGTGTGGAGGATCAAACTAAACCATTATACTGAAAAGCACCAACAAAAAATATGTGAATAATAAAAAAAAGGCGTCAAGCTGAGAAATTACTTTGCCCTAAACGAGCTCAATTTTGGCGCGCTAACCAAAAAGCTATTTCTAGCAAAGGTAGCGCTCTGTCGCTGAATTATTGATCGTCAATTTTTACTTGATCAAGCGGCGTTTTCCTCGACTATTTCAATCGTTAACCTCTGTTGAGTCGAAGAGACAGTCTCGCGCTTTTAGTCCTAGTGATTCGCGAGTAGTTGGTTGGGTTAGGAAACACCGCTTTCAAAAGTCTGCTTTTCTGTAGCGTAAAGCTGTTCCTTTTTTACACTTCTGACACTCACTGTGTTTCAAAAAACCGGCCTCGTGTTCCCTACGGACAAAAATGATACTGTTTGGGTGACTAACTGTTATGAAAATGGACGGAGCGGTTCACTGTGCAAGTCCGCGGACGCCATTTTGGCCAGGCAATCTAGTGAGGGCTACCAGTCTGTTACAGTGTCGTCCATGCTTTTAGGATCCACTCCCGGTGAAACGCCGCGCCGAAAGTTTAATATGGCTCTAAAATATGTTCCTTCATCTTAAAACATGCATTGGATCCTTTTGACGATCATTTTCTTTTGTTATGCAGCTCCTCTTCCTGGATTAAGTGTGCCGAAAAAGAAAAGAGGTAAGGTGTAATTTTTTTTTTGTGTTATCTGTCAAATGTCTCCTCTTTGCCGTTCCCCCCTCCCCTTTCCATTTTAATAACGGCAACTAGTAGAGGTTGATAACCGTTCTGTTAAGATCTTTAAAGGCATCTCTGTTTCAGTTGCGGAAATGGATCCTTTGTTTATTTTTTTCTCACGGAAAAGGAATTTTCAATTAGGAAATTGTTCTGAATTTTTTTGGTCTGAAAGCGGAAGAATTAAAAGAAAGATAATTTTAAAATATGTCTTTCTTAGAAGCGTGACTTATCGTTTGTTTACAAAAATTTCTTGGAACTTTTTCTCGTGTAACTTCATTAGTGAAATTTTAATTTAATATAATTATCTCTCTCTCATTTTAATTTATTTTAAAATATTTTATTATTTATTTTTCAAATTATACGCGCAGCATATTTTCCAAGTCATTTAAAACACTTTTAGTATGATTAAAAAATGATTTTGTTTTTCTTCAATTTTTTGAAGAGCGTTTTTTCTAATCAGATAACTCATCGAGAGTTAAATTTGTCATTTACAATGAAATAGTTTTAAATATTGTATAAGTGGACGAAAAAAACAGTTTTAAAATTTTCTAATTCATTTATGAGATTTTTTTCAAATATAAAAAACATAATTAAATGAAATGAAATACAAAAATTTTTTTTTGTTAGAACGCTGGTTGTACAAATGCAATTATTTGTTACTTAAATTTATAGAATATTACCCTAATTTCTGTGTTTTTTTCATAGATTGCAAGTTAATTGTTTTAAATCTGATTATCTTTAATCTTATTAAATAAATTTTTTGAAGAAAAATTTAATTTGAATTGCTTTTTTAAACATTTGAATCTTTTTTGGAGCTGTTCTATAAACTTTTAAACAATATATTTGCAATATATTTTGGTTTAATCTTTATGACCTCCCCCTCTTTTACATGAGGAAATGCCTGTGTAAATTAATAAAGAACACACAAGCTTTACTATTAGCTCTATTTTCTATTTTAACTGAAAAAATAAAAATATATTATTGTGCCAAATTTTATTTAAAAAAATAGATGCTTATTTCGTATCACTGTTTTAAATTTCTTTTAAAAAATAAATGATGGGAGTAATAAAAGATGTGTTATGATAAAGAATATTAAAAAAAGAATGATCTAATTGATTTTGTTTTATGAATGTTATAAATGAAATTTATTTTGAAATCAATTCTACTATGTGTTTCAGAAATTTTCAAAAAACATGCATTTACTGTAGAATTGAAATTTTAATATGTTGAAAATAATTTTTATATTAGAATTGTAAAAAAAATTATTTCATTTTTTTTTTTTTATTGTAAAGACTATCTTCGAAGAAAAAAAATGTTCATATAGAACATGTAATAATTGAATTTAAATTGTATTTTATTCATTAATTTTCTTTCCTTCATAGAGCAAAAAAGGAAATTCTGATTAAACGTCGGAGACATAACATATATATTATCTATTGGAAGTACTCACATGTACAAACACATATATAATTCAAGGTTTATTCCAATGTTAAGAAGGAACTGAGTATAAAAAGTTAGGTGAAAAAAATATGTATTATATTTCACATAAAAAAAGTATAATTGGGTATTACTCGAAGTGAAAGCTTATAAATAGTAAGATAAGTGTTTTTGTTTATAAAATAAAAATCAGTTAATGTATTATGAATGGCTAAAGCAAATAGAAATATGAATGTTTTTATAATAATTTCTTTATCCAAAAGGTTGTATACTGCTGTTTGCATACAAAATATTCTGTGAATGAATGTTATTTGTTTAAATTGAAATTGGAAACTTATTGTTTTCTTTCTTTTTTTTAGTATTGACATATTCACATCATTCAGTATTTTTAGTTTCTTGTATTGTAAAAAGAATTATTTGAAAAAAAGATATTTCAAACACTAAATAACAATGAAATTTCATGTTTATAAATGTTCTCTTAATAAAAATAATCAATCATGTATTAGTATTTTAAATATCATAACATTATAATTAATATTTATTTATAGTATAAAGTTATTAAAATTTTATCATGGAGGCAGTACAACATTACCTTTGAAATTTCCTGAAACGAATTTTTTAAAAAAAAGTTCATTTCATAAACTATAACTTGAAATATATAGGGAATTTTAACCAAAATTTGAAAAATATGGTTAGTTTATCAGATTTAAGTAATCAAACTGAATTTTGTATTTGTTAAAAACCTAATTTGTATTTATTCATTTTGTTGATCTGGTTGTTAAGTAGTTACATTAGTTTTAGGAAGTACCAAAATTTTATAATTTAATAAAACTACTATGTTACAAAATTTTATAAAATATATTAATGCTTTTAATGAACCTAAACTTTAGGGTTTTTCTAGGTACTTTTGTACAACAGATAGAAATTATGCAGATCTGGTTTTAAAAAAAAATATTAAAATAATATTGAAATATGTTTATTTTCTACAACAAAAAACAACTTTTTCTGTTTAAAATTCTAATTATCTAGCTTTGGAATGAAATTCATTTGCTGTTTATTTAAAAATGTTCTTACATTAGTAAGTTTTCTTAAAAAAAAATATTTTCTGTTCTTAGTGTATTTCTTATGATTCTGTTCAAGAATTTTGAACTTTTTTATTTTGGCTTATGATTTCTTTCTTTTTTTGTATGTAATTCAAACAAGGGCAGAGATGAGGCCACTACTTGTTCTTAGAATTTAAGAAAACATTCACAGTTTGTAAACATTTATATATTTATTTTTTCAGTTTATACTGACTCATTAATATTTTTCTCTCATGGTATGCGAAAGATTACACATCATTTTGATTGTAGCCTTTTATAAGTAATTTTGGTGACTATGCTGTCTTATTTATAAATTCCTGTCTAATGGAAATGTGAATGAACTATATATAAAACAAGTATTTCATGTTAATTAAAACATTTTGGGACGGGGGGGATATTTTAAAGGATTATTTTATTTTTCATAGAAAAATATTTAATGCATGACCTTTCACATTTACTTCTATGTTCTGCTTCAATTTATTTTTGAGGATTATTTTGTGTTACATCTGAAACATCCAAGTTGAACATATTTTACTTATAATGTTTTTTCATGATTTGCACAATTTATATAAAAAGTTATGCATATATTGATTAATTTTAAAAATTTTATCTGTTATAAATTAATCTTGGTTATACATATCTAAAGAACGTAATTCTGTTAAGTTTCTAGATTTGTATTATTCAATCCATACACTTTTTGCAGAAAGTTTATTTTCTGGATGTGTCGTAATACTTTTTGTGTCTCTATATTAATCTTGCATTAGTTTATACAAGCATATTTTAAAAAATTTATAAAAGTATCTTAATCTTGCAAAGTTAACAAATTTTTAATTATTTTTGCTGACTCCTTTCAGAAAGTTTATTCCGCTTGATAAAATTATGCCTTTTAACAAAGTAATATGGCATTGATATTGGAAGCAATGCAGTTGTTAATACAGCTAATCATATCCTGCAGTTATATTTTATTGTCAGTACTGTGTTTCTCACTTCAGGTAAACTCTCGTTACCTTAACTCTGGTCTTATAATAAGAAAAAATG